TCACTATTTATTGTCATGGTTCTCTAAAAACAAATTGTTTTGGCAGAAATCTCCACACCAGCCTCATGCTGATATATGTAGACTCTTTTCAGGGCTCACAGACCTCAGGTGTCTGTCTGAGAGTAAAAAAATGTCTTTCAGAAGGTTTACAGTTAATTTGTCAACTCTCTCAGTTTGTTGTTCTAAAAAATGTCTTTCAGAAGGTTCACAGTTAATCTGTCAGCTCTCTCAGTTTTTTGTTCCCAAAAAATGTCTTTCAGAAGGTTCACAGTAAATCCATCAGCTCTCTCAGTTTTTTGTTCCAAAAAATATCCTTCAGAAGGTTTACTGTTAATCTGTCAGTTCTCTCAGTTTGTTGTTCCAAAAAATGTCTTTCAGAAGGTTCACAGTTAATCTGTCAGCTCTCTCAGTTTGTTGTTCCAAAAAAATGTCTTCCAGAAGGTTTACAGTAAACCATTCAGCTCTCTCAGTTTGTTGTTCCAAAAAATGTCTTCCAGAAGGTTCACAGTTAATCTGTCAGCTCTCTCAGTTTGTTGTTCCAAAAAATGTCTTCCAGAAGGTTTACAGTAAACCATTCAGCTCTCTCAGTTTGTTGTTCCAAAAAAATGTCTTCCAGAAGGTTTACAGTAAACCATTCAGCTCTCTCAGTTTGTTGTTCCAAAAAAATGTCTTCCAGAAGGTTTACAGTAAACCATTCAGCTCTCTCAGTTTGTTGTTCCAAAAAATTTCTCCTAGAAGGTTCACGGCTAATCTGTCAGCTCTCTCAGTTTGTTGTTCCAAAAAATGTCTCCAAGAAGGTTTACAGTTAATCTGTCAGCTCTCTCATTTTGTTGTTCCAAAACATTTCTCCTAGAAGGTTCACAGTAAATCTGTCAGCTCTCTCAGTTTGTTGTTCCAAAAAATGTCTCCCAGAAGGTTTACAGTTAATCTGTCAGCTCTCTCTCTCAGTTTGTTGTTCCAAAAAATGTCTCCCAGAAGGTTCACAGTTAATCTGTCAGCTCTCTCAGTTTGTTGTTCCAAAAAATGTCTCCCAGAAGGTTTACAGTTAATCTGTCAGCTCTCTCTCTCAGTTTGTTGTTCCAAAAAATGTCTCCCAGAAGGTTCACAGTTAATCTGTCAGCTCTCTCTCTCAGTTTGTTGTTCCAAAAAATGTCTCCCAGAAGGTTTACAGTAAACCATTCAGCTCTCTCAGTTTGTTGTTCCAAAAAATGTCTTCCAGAAGGTTCACAGTAAATCTGTCAGCTCTCTCAGTTTGTTGTTCCAAAAAATGTCTCCCAGAAGGCTCACAGTTAACCATTCAGCTCTTTCAGTTTGTAGTTCTAAGAGATGTTTTCCTGTCGTGAATATGAATAATAAAAACACAAACAATATATTATTCGTATATTGCCTGTAATATTTTACTAGATGTCCACAGGCGCATACTGAAAATTTTGTTTTCAACATTTAGCAGTATAGTCAGTGAAATATTTAATATATCTGGGAATTTTTCAAGGAATATATTGTTTATTTCTTCCTGCTTGCTGGCTTTACCCAGTAGATGTGTCATTTGCATGTGGTTTTTTAAAATATGAGGGGTTTTAAATAAAGACCTTAAACAATTTACGGTAACTATGCCATTGTCTTGTCACCTGTCAGTGCTGTTGTTAAGGATGTCAAGGTTGTTAAGCATGTAATATTGTGGTGCAGACAAACTGGGGAGTCATAATGACAGCTTTAAAATGGCCACCCTACTGTTGATATGCACAAAAGAAGAGCAGCGTTCTGTTATCCGTCCCCCCCCCCCCCCCCCCCCCCCCCCCCCCCCCCCCCCCCCCCCATACACTTGCTGTAATGACAGGCATGCAATACCACTTACTGGACTTTCATTCACTGAAGTACTCCAAATTTCTCTCTGTCACTGAGAGAATAACACTCTGAACAACAATATTGGCAGATAGGTTACAAGACAGTGATAAGGTTATAATTTCTACCACACTTTCAAGGTTTGCATTTGAAGTGCCCTCATATTACCTTCACAGCTAGATCACCACACCACAGCACACAAGCATTCTGCAAGCACTTATAAGTGTATCTTGGAACATTTCAGGTAGTGTAACCGGCACGCTAGCTAAGCTGGTTAAACCAGCTGCGCAGCAACCGGGTGACAGACTCCTTGTGGTCCGAGTTCACACTCAGGGGTAGGCAGAAAAGCCACATATTTCCTAGATTACGGTATCTAACATGGAATCAAGGCCGAAAGGTTGTGATATCCATAGTAACGAACCAAAGGGTTTTACAACTCATGGTTTCTGGATTTACAAAAATTTTGTTTTTGTTTTTTTGACTTTGTAAAACTGGCCACTGGGCCATTTGACTCATGCTTTAGTTTGTGTTGGCTGTTGGCTTTGCTTGAAAACTTAACAACTTCTATTCCACTTCTGCGTTTTTGTGTGTTTTTAGCACACTAAGCTTGTTTAATGCCTGCCTCAGTCTGTTCTTTTTTTTTTTTTTTTTTTCAATCAATACTGCCTGAAAATCTGGCCATTAGCCTCATTCCACATTTGCTGCTTTGGGATATTTACACAGAAAAAAACAAAAAACACAAGTGGCTTCAGGTTTAGTTGTATTTTTGGGTTGTTCTATAAGGACCCTCTATTGTGTAGTATAAAATCCTTATGAAGTGTTCAGTGTAATCACTTTAGTTGTATTAATTTCAGAATGTTTCAGTAAACATACATTTTTTAAAACTAAGTTGTCAAATTTAAAATAGTAACCACTGCCAACCACTGATCATTGGACCACTAACTGTCCTGCTCTTGACACTTTATGGGCAAAGTGGAAGATGAAGTTGATAATCAAATAAAAAAAAAAAAAGAAGTAAATTTTTGTTGTGCAGAATGTGTGGTCCTCAGGGGCTCGGAATGCTGAAGAAGAAGAAGAATGTACGGTAATGCAAAGGCTTTTGTAATCAATTTATAGCATGCTAATCTTTTATTTAGGAGTCGCAGTAGTGTAGCAGCTAGATTCTCGCCTGCTGACCCGAAGTTCTAGGGTTTAAGTCAAAGTTTTAGGGTGTAAGTCAACATTTAAGGGCATTTTTTGGGGGTGTCCTAGGTAATCCTGGACTAAAATGGGTACCGGTAGAGTTCTGGGAAGTAAAGGTGGATATAGTGTTGTCGACCATATCAATCCAGCCACCAAAAGCCAGTTGGCCTGTAAAAGAAGCTGGCACTATACACCCTATGAAAAGACCCTTTACTTTAAAAAAATATCTTTTATACAAATGTGGACATCTGGGAAAAGGTGTAGGAGGTACTGAATTGATTTTGATATGTATTTGTAGGCAGTCATTGAGGTTGATTTGTAGCAGATTCTCATAAAAAACATACTTTATTTCTTGTGTACAAAAATGGCTATAGTTTATTCTGCCACTTGATGCTGCGTGTGCTGGCCTTGGTGTCCATCCACAGTCTTCTGTCAGCGTTACTGCCAGTAGATGTTCTCCCGTGCCATGATGTCAGACATTCCAACATTCTCTCACTTGGTCTAACTATTTCCTTTTTGACACACTCAACTGTTCCCACTCCCATGATGTGCTAAATAAATGAAAATGTGAGCTATTATCTTTCATACAAATAAAGTTCTTGTAGAGGTAATACCACCTTATTTTGAGCCTCTGTGTAGTTCTGGGGCATGGAGGTTACCGAATGCATTTAATAATTTCATGATCCTTGAGTACTAGGATTCAGTTTCCATGATGGATAGTTTGTGTTAGAAAAAAACAACTCACATTTTTGCGGTTTTTGTGTGTGTGACTATAATACAAGAGTGATACCATGGAAAAGATCGGGGGTCTTAGCACATAACATTCAAAGTCTTCGTCCAAGGACACACTAGTCTGTCCTATCTGTTGTTATCATTTGCAGCTCCCAGCATGTCCCCCCCCCCCCCACCCCATTATTAATCTCTAGAGTTAATTCTCATCTCTGCATTTAGGTCTCCAGCTGTTTGTTGTGTTCTGCATACCCCCCCCCCCCCCCCCCAGCCACCTTATTTCTGATTACACTGTTATCAGGTTTTTCAATGTGTCCTAGCAGATGTCAGCAACATTTCAGTACCTCTCCATTCACTTCATAGTGTCTAGTTCCCTCCTTAAACTCCACTCTGTTTTAACACTTCGCTTGCTGCTGATGATGGGGATGGAGCACTTATGGGGGTGTCCCGAGTGCTGTAATGTCAATTCTTTATTCAACATTCAACTCCACATAAGTGTCTAAGACTAAGTCTTTCTGCTAGATGTGGCCAAGGACCTTTGGGGAGCAAGTGAACTGTGCAGAAGCACCAACGGATCATTATCAGAAGAGACTGATGCAGTGGGGGGCAAGTGAACTGTGCAGAAGCACAAACTGATCATTATCAGAAGAGACTGATGCAGTGGGGGGCAAGTGAACTGTGCAGAAGCACCAACAGATCATTATCAGAAGAGACTGATGCAGTGGGGGGCAAGTGAACTGTGCAGAAGCACAAACTGATCATTATCAGAAGAGACTGATGCAGTGGGGGGCAAGTGAACTGTGCAGAAGCACCATCAGATCATTATCAGAAGAGACTGATGCAGTGGGGGGCAAGTGAACTGTGCAGAAGCACCAACAGATCATTATCAGAAGAGACTGATGCAGTGGGGGGCAAGTGAACTGTGCAGAAGCACAAACAGATCATTATCAGAAGAGACTGATGCAGTGGGGGGCAAGTGAACTGTGCAGAAGCACAAACAGATCATTATCAGAAGAGATGCAGTGGGGGGTGACCAACACTCAGCATTTCAATAAAAGTCATGAAAGTGCATACAGTCAGTGTACTACTGGTACCATCAGAACTGGAGCTCTGTGTTGGCTGCTGAAGATGGGGATGCAGCACTTCGTGTAATTGTCACGAGTGCTGTGATGTTGGTCCTTAACCTGATTTCAGTCTTTCTGTACACTTGATGTGGACCTGAGTAATTTGTGTGTGTCTCCTTGCAGCCAGATGGCATTGTGAGAGTCAAGGCCAGGGAGAAGCAGGAAGAAGCCATCCATCATCTGCTGGTCAATGTCTATTCTTTTGCTTGCAACATTGGTGATCCCGCTGAAGTGTTGATGTCTCTCTATGATAACAGAGATGGCAAGTTTCTCAGGTAAACACTTCTTGTCTGTCTGTGTGATGTCTGTTATCATCTGCCGGTCAATGTCTATTCTTTTGCTTGCAACATTGGTGATCCCGCTGAAGTGTTGATGTCTCTCTATGATAACAGAGATGGCAAGTTTCTCAGGTAAACACTTCTTGTCTGTCTGTGTGATGTCTGTTATCATCTGCCAGTCAATGTCTATTCTTTTGCTTGCAACATTGGTGATCCCGCTGAAGTGTTGATGTCTCTCTATGATAACAGAGATGGCAAGTTTCTCAGGTAAACACTTCTTGTCTGTCTGTGTGATGTCTGTTATCATCTGCCAGTCAATGTCTATTCTTTTGCTTGCAACATTGGTGACCCCGCTGAAGTGTTGATGTCTCTCTATGACAACAGAGATGGCAAGTTTCTCAGGTAAACACTTGTTGTCTGTCTCTGTTATGTCTGTATTGTATGACACCAGAGAGGGCATGTTTGTCATGTATGTATTCTCTGTCTTGTGTTTATTATGCATCTTTTGTATGCCTAGAGAGATGGCCAGTTTGTCATGTATGGTTTTTCCTGCCTGCGTTTATTATGTCATTTTGCTTGTTGCTGTACAAGTGAAAGCAGTCTTCAAACACAAATTTCTTTTTCCTTTGCTTGTCTTTATCCTTGTGTTATTGGGAGAAGCATTTTACCACATAAAAGTATACACAAGGCTAAATATAAATCACAAGACCATAAGACAACTAATCAAATTGATCACATATGTATAAACAAACAATTGAGATTATCCCTTTATGATGTTAGGGCTTTAGAGGTGCTGATACCAGTTTTTGCTTGTAAGTAAAATCAAGTTGAAACTTGAAAGATATATAACATCTTAAAGTCATAGAAACCAATATAATGTAGGATATCTCAGAGATAAAGAAAATTAGAACAATTTACAGTTACAGTCTCTAATAAGTACCAGGTTTTGCAGCAGTTTGCTGAAGATGTCAGCACTGAAATCTGCTTGGTTCAAATCAAGTAAAAAATGTGCACATTCCAGTGCTTGTATTGATTATTTTGATGCCATTGCGAACTTTTAATATTACTTGATCTGTGAATGAAATGATGTAAGAATGGAGGGAGACCTCGAAGGGCAGAATGTTAGACGGGCCTGCATGCCCAATTCCTAACCCTTTAAAAATAAAGTTTGTTCGTTCGTTCGTTCGTTCGTTCAAGGGCGTTGGAATGAATCTTATGTAGGAGTCCTTGGTAAGAAATAACGGAAACCTGAAGAGTGGATAATGCCAGAAACCATTAAAATGATTGAATAAAGAAATTGTAATGATGGCCAGAGTGATGTTAGCCGCATCACACTTGGAGCGTCGATTTGTTGATATTAATATGAGACCAACCTCATCAATCCAGTACACTCCAGGGCACGGAGAAAAGGTCTTTTACTGAAATAAATTCTGCCAATCTGTCTGTCTGTAACTCTGTCTTCACCAGTCTAATCACCTATTCCTGTGTTCATGCTTTCTGTCCAGTGTTTTGTCTTCTTCTGCTTCTTTGTTCCCCATCAGTCATCTATCTGGAACAACATGTTTTCACAAGAACAAGACACTAAAAGTTTGGGAGATCCACCCAGCAAAGCCAGTATTCTGTTGTGGAGAAGATACCCGATTGATAATTTAATTGATGATTACTTTAGTCATGTTAAATAATGCTTTACTAAACTCATAAAAACTATGTAATTTAATTCTGTGCATTTTTTTGTTTGTTTTCAGTGAGAAATTTGTTATGCTGTTCACACGGGATGGACAAAAAGAAAGTGGAGACAAAACCATTTTTAGTACCATTTTTACAGTGAGATCTGCTTGTGTTTGTTATTGTCTAATATAGACCTGGTTTCATTATCAGTAAAGTTTTGATTGTTACTTTCAATTTCTTTTATGAGCAGGAGGCTTGAATTCTTTCCGAGATGGATTTTTAAAAATTGTCTTTTCTTTAAACACAAATTGGGGTTTGCTCTGTCCTTTGGTGGTAATCCCTAAAACTACATCATTACATCCATCAAAAGATATGACATTGATGCCAGACTCTGAAAGAGTCATAACAAATGTAATTATTCTCAGAACCTTTAAATCTGGCCATCAAATGTTGTTGCTACAGTTATATTAAAAGTCAATGCAAATTTGCCTTTAGAGAAGCAAATGTTGTCTATAAAACATAAGAAAGTGAACCAGTGTCACAGGTCATGTTCACTTGTGTAAGTGAAACCTCTATGCCACATCTACAGAGTCTAATATACGGTTCCCTCTGCACACACTGATGGACATAGAAATACTGCTGCTGAGATGATGACTTCACAAGGAAAAGCCCCCAAAAAAGCTTATAAAGAAAGACCTCCCAAACAAACAGTATACCCAGAGGACCACAGCCTGTGAATCTTCCCCTTAAATCTTCCCCTCTCTCCCAGCCTAACTGATTAAAGGAGAAGGGTTCGGTGACTACTCACAATAGATCTCCTGGGGTATAGGTTTAGATATATTATCTTAAACTACTGGTTATGATCACTGACTGACACATGCAAAAATCAATTCCACAACACAGGAAGTGTATTACCAATTAATGGAATCTATTGCAGTAAAATGAAAAAATCATAGGACCGAAAAACTAGACTGGATTTGTTTGTGAATGACAGGACATGCCACTCCTCTGATGTTTAGGCTTCTTCCAGCTGCTTGGTAAACCAGCACTGATCCACACATACAGGATGTTGACACTTCAAGATCAGGTTTGACAGTCAAGACATCCACCTAAACTGAAGAAATGAGACAGCCTGTAGATGACTATGTAATTTGTGCCTCGTCACACTGTCGTACTGAGGTAGTCCTCATAAAGTATTCATCTGCATACACACATACATAACATTGGTGTAGCAATGATGGTAATGTAGATTCCAATTCTATCAGACATAGAGAATAGACTCAATTGGGCAGTTTCTTGAATGAGTGTACAAACTTCTCATCCAGATTTATTATCCTTACATTAATTGATATAGCTAGCAAGAGGTTCAAAGCACTTCCCATTGACATTCATCACATCAAATGTCATGCAGCAAGCATGATTTTTCTTTCTGTCAAGAATTGGATTTCCTAACACTATTTCAGACGGGCAAACAGTTTACATCGCAAATAACTAAAGCAGTTAACAATATTTTAAATATCGAACAAAAATTGACAACCAGGCGAACACACCAGAAGTTGGTCAAAACACTGCTAGCTAGGATTGAGAACTCTTCCACATGGGGTAGATTATTGCCTGCAGTTCATTTTGCATATCGTAAAGTATCTCATAGCTCAATAGGTCACCTTTTTGAACTAGTAGACTAGCATTGAGTGCAAATCATCATGGCCCGTCAGAAATATACAGTCAAATTCTTACAGGTAAAATGAAAAATGAATCTGCTAAACTGGATTGTAAAGCTGTTTTCAATTTAAACAAAGTCGTGGTTGCATCTCAAGAAGCAATTAACCCACTGACTACCAAGCCCATTCATTAACCCTTGCATTTCCCCAGATACCACGTATTTTAGTGTTTACTAAAAATGCCATAGCTTCACAACTATTTGATATAATCTCACAATATTTTGTATTTTTGCACCAAATTGAATGAAGAACAAATTTCAAGAAAAAAAAAGTTGTGTATTTTGTTTTGCATCATCATCATGTGGCTGTAGATTGGTGCAAAAAAGGCAACTGGAAAATCTTTTATCTGACAACAATAAAGACAAATAAAAATGTCTTATTTTCAAAAAATATTTAACAAAAATGTATAATATTTTGTATTTTTGCACAAAATTAAACCAAGAACACATTTAAAGAGAAAAAAAATAAGGTTTACTCTGACATAGTCATCATCATCATGTGGCTGTAGATTGTTGCAAAAAAGGCAACTGAAAATCATTTATCTGACAACAATAAAGACTGATAGTGATGATTTTTTTTCTCAAAAACTTTCAACAAACATATATAACATTTTGTATTTTTGCACAAAATTGAACCAAGAACACGTGTGAAGACAAAAAATGGGGTTTACTTTGTCTGACATAATCATCATTATCATGCGGTTGTAGATTGTTGCAAAAAAAAGGCGACCGAAAAATCCTTTGTCTGACAATAATTCAGACTCCCCAAAAAATGTCACAGCTTCACAACTGTTCAAGATCACTTATCCTATCTGATATTGTTTGCACAAAATTAAATAGATAACAAATATCAAGACAAATGTAGATTTACTGTTTTATATCATCTTCATGTGGCTGTAGATATGGTGCTATAAAGGCAGCAGAAAAATATGTTATCTGACAGCAATATATAGAAAACGCCCCCGTGACATGATGGTGGCAGCAAATGATGAGTGGATAGATGGATATAGACTCTGGTAGTCTGAAATAGACGGCTTGTTCACAACACATGTGACGCAGCAGTACAAGAAACCCTGTCACTTTATTTGGGGTTGTGTGTTTCCAGTTCCAGCACTAATCTTTGTCTCAGCAAAACGGTTTGTTTCTTTAGCAAACACAGCAAGTATTTCTTTACTGAAGAAAATATTCAGTGGTTCATTTGTTCCTGCTGGCAGAAATAAACCAGAAGTGCCAGTAAATGGGGGTACTCCAGGAAAGCCTTTCTAAATCACAATGCCAGTCATCAACCATTGGGGGGGCGTGGCACATCTTCCCCAGACTCGTCAGATGATGATGATTCTGAATCAAAAGTGGCAATGATATCTTCGTCATGTGCAGACTTAAGCACAAAATCTTTATAATCTGTGGGCTTTGACTGAATACTCTCACAAGAACTATTAGCATAATAAACTGCCGCACTAGTGCTTGCAGCCGATAACACTGTCTTTGTCAGACTTGACTTCGAAGCGTCATACTGTCGTTTTACAGTCGACCATGTTTTGAATGGCACTTCGTTAAATTTATTATAGTCAAAGCTATCAAACTGTTCAGAAGTGTCTTCAAATTCACGTTTTGAAGCAAAATCAAGAAAATCGCTTGCATCATTAGAAAAATTAGGAGAGATATGGCCACCATGATGGTTCCGATAATTTGTCGCCATGGTGAATTTTTCGTCAATGTCTCACCGTCATGGGAGCTAACTAAAAAAAATTCGTCAAATATTTACTTTAAGCACTACGAAGTTATTTCCCTTAATTAACCATACAGAAATGAATAATCTAGAGGTTTCAACTAAATCCATCATAAAAATCGTGATTTTAACATGGCGGCGAGCGTGCTAAAATCGCAAAGCGTGCGACATTGGTGACAGGAAGTAAACGTCGCCTCGTCGCATAACGTGCGGCGTTGGTAGTCAGTGGGTTAAAGCAATACACAGTGCTGTTGCAATACAACAGAAATATGCTGTTAGAAAGGTGAATTTTTGAAATACAATCCAGGTGATGGAGCCGAATGAGTGAGACACATTGTGTATTGAATGGTCTGGTCCTTTCGGTATTATCAGAATAGTTTTTGATGTGGATTATGAGATTAATTTGTGTAAGAAACACAATTTTTAGTGTAAAAATTTTGAAACCTTATTTCTGAAGGTCCATTTTAGAAAACAGTACTCTTAATACAGATGGGTAATTCTTGCTTTTTAATTACTGAACACATTATTGATGCTGTAGAGGAAGATGACTTAGCGCTGACTGAGAAACAGTGCAGGGCATGTAATGGCAAGTAAACCAGATTGGCAGAAGGAAAATTGCCCAGAGTCATATTTGTTTTCAACAGCTTTTTCATAGCCATTAGCCAGTTGGGACATAGCAGGTCCCATTCCAGCACGGTGCAGATTGTGTGTGTGTGTGTGTGTGTGTGTGTGTGTGTGTGTTGTCCATCAAGATGATGATGACCACTCTTTTTCATCAAGTATGAGTACGAAGATGACTGATGAGGCCGATACGGGCCCAAAAAGTTCTCGGACAGTGAGGACAGGGAATGAGTGTTGTGCCAAGGAGGGGATCTTTGCAGTCGCCTTTCTGTCCATCCTTTTGTTAATCATTCTTGCTGTTCTATTTGCTTCACATGTAGCCGTGCCATTGTGTAGAGTTGCACGCCATCCATTTAGGTTTTGAGAGGTGGCCTCCCAATTGGTGCAGTGCAGATTAACCAGCCCTTGAAGCAACATCACAACTGGATAGTTCTTTATTGTAATTCTTCCTTGTGCTTTACTTCCCAACAGCTGTGTTTTCATTGTTTCTTACTCAATTTTTCCTTGCAGGATCTAAGTTCAGACGATATTAAAAAAGATCTCTACCTGGTACTGCAGATTTTTAGGAAAGGTAAGCAACATTCTTATTACTTATTGGAGATGACAAAATTTTGACAGATATACACAACTATCAAAACTGTGTGAATAGTTTGTTAGTTTTTCTAGTCAAATCAGTTTGGAAAAAAAAATTATTCATGGGGTAAGCAAATCAAACTTGTGGAACATTGAGTCCGTTATTAACTATAAGAAGCCTTAGTAGTTTTGTAGTTTGTTGGTCCAAATCCAATTATCACTGTCAGTTATTAATTATAAGAAGCCTTAGTAGTTTTGTAGCTTGTTGGTCCAAAGGTCTTTAATTCTGCACCAAGTTGGATGTTTTCAACATTGACCTTGACTCCTAGCTGAACCCAGCCAAAAATCGGTACCAGGTAATTTTCTGGGAAGTAAAGGCAGTCAGCCTGATGCTAACCACATCACCTGTAGAGTGACGAGTGGTCTGAAAATATAGCATCATATGTTCTATAGGCCTTGATGTGAAAACAGTTTCTGTCTCTGTTAGCTGTAAGGTAATAGGTATGCACAGTTTTTAATTAAGAAAGGAAACATTTGTGGAATCTTTATAATTTAGATGTAAGAAATGCAGTAAGTAAATTATATATGATTCAGTTACTGGAAATGTAGAAATGAAAAAATGTAAAGTATATATAAACATTTTTTATAATTGAGAAATGTAGTAATAGAATTGGGAAACAAAATTATCAGCTCATAAATTAATGAAGTGCTCATAATTAAGTAACTCCCTTATCAAAGCAAAAAAAGGTAATTAAGTCTATTTTAATATTTCTACACAATTTGAATTGAAAATTGCAGGCAGCAACAAGAAAGGGACCAATATACAATATAGACTACCTTATGGAGTTTCAGGTGAGTAGTCTGTGGCAACAGGGTATTTTCAGAGATTTTTTTTGGGGTTATAAAACCCTGTGAATATAGCCATTTGTTTGTGTATAAAGTCTTTTCTGCTTGTATTTAACATATTTAGAGAGGTTTGGGAGGAGGGGGTGGGGGGGGGGGGCCGCTGGGCTATAAACCTGAAGATTTGATTCTGTAAGGCTAGATCAGTCATCATGAACACTGCAGGTTTATATTATTTTTTACCCTTGACAGAAACAAATCTCAGCCCCTTCATTCATTAATTATCTGTCATTATGTGTCACTTAGGGCTTGCATTTTCATTCATTAATTGTCCATCATTATGTGTCACTTAGGGCTTGCATCTTCATTCATTAATTATCCATAATTATGTGTCACTTAGGGCTTGCATCTTCATTCATTAATTATCCATCATTATGTGTCACTTAGGGCTTGCATTCTATTTCTTTATTTTGTTCTATCCTGTATAGTCACTTTGATATCATAGGTGGAATCCAGTCTAGCACCTTTGGCTTCTCTCATCAGTGCGTACCTTGAGGTTTCTGTTGGACGCCCTTGCTTCTTTAGTCTCCTTGATTTATAACCATTTTCTGTTCTGACTTACAGGTGGTAAACCGAACAGAAATTTATATTTTTCAACACTATTTTTATTCAGACAGGTTATAATATTGTACATCAAACACAAAAATGCAGCAGTCTGTGTACTTATTGAATATATGCATATAACTGATGCTGAAGTCATCACTTCTGGGAGCTTTTTGATCCTACCTCTGTAATTATCTTTTTTGATTTACTATTTGTGTGTGGTCGTAAGTGGCATAGGTCGTAGGTTGGGGGAAAGATGTATTTGGGAATAACGGTCAGTCTTTCCATTGTTAGCCACAATGAAATCACTGTCTCAGCACTGAAAATACTGTTTATGACAAGTTTGTTTCTTGTCAAATTCTCCCCAAAAACATCTTATTCTTCTTTTCTTCTTCTTCACTGCCTCTTTTACCGCTTTGGGTGTCGAGGGAGATATAAGGTTCTGTTTCTAGCTCTTCTGGCCGCCTCGACCATAGGCACTCGTGCTGTTGTAGAGTTTCTCTGATGTTATCCTTCCATCTTGTTCTTGGTCTGCCTCGTGCTCTACGTCCTTCTTCTCTTTCTATGTATGCTTTGTATGATATGGTGCCACAAGGCATTCTCTCTAAGTGGGCAAACCATTTCACTTGCTGTCTTTGTATGTAATTTAGAATTGGTTCTGTGCCGACCTTTTCTCTTATGATCTCATTCCTGATCTTTTCTCTTATGGTCACTCCTAAAGCCCTTCTCAGAAATCTCATTTCCATGGTTACTAATTTTCTTTTATGGTTTGTTGTGAGTGACCATGTCTGGCACTGGTAGCACAGAGTTGGAAAAAATATGCTTTGAATAAGATGTCTCTTTGTGCTGATTGGGATTGTCTTATGCTGTAAGAGGGGAGCTAGCTGTCCCAATACTTGGTTTGCTTTACTGCATCTAATGTTAATTTCTTTATCCAATTTCCCATCTTGTGTAAATGTAGTTCCCAGATATTTAAACTCCGATGCCTGTATATATATATATATATATATATATCTCTAATCAGTTTGTAGTTCCTATCTGCTTCTTGGAGGACTCTCTCTCTTCTGTCAATTCATTGCATTCTTTATATTTTACCAGAGACAACACTTCCACTGCCAACAGATGTTTCTCAGCCTGCCTGCTCATTGTCTATGTTTCACAGACATACATCAGTGCAGGTTCTATATTTCACAGTGTCACTCCTTTTCTCATGGCAGCTGAGAACTTTCTTTTTTTTTTTTTTTTTGAAATTGGTGAGAATGTAAATATATTAGTAAACAGCATCTAACTGTGCTGATCTGATGTACCAAGTACAGTGTCGTAAATGGTTAGTTTAGGACTGCCTAATAAATAATTAACACTACCTCACCACCATGGAAGATTGCATCAGCTGGGATTGTAGGGTAGAATGCTGTGCATCTGATTAGCAGACCTTAAAAAAGTAGTGTGTGCAATACTTCGTAACAGTATGGTGAAAACATTTTACTTATTAGGTGGTTTTAAACTTTCGACCACCACTGTACTTTACACCCTTACAGCCTTAAATTGGTAACAGTAAAAGCTGCCAGTGTTGTGATGTCCATACCACCCATTGAGTGCCACTTGGTCTACTGCCAGTGTTGTGATGTCCATACCACCAATTGAGTGCCACTTGGTCGACTGCCAGTGTTGTGATGACCATACCACCCATTGAGTGTCACTTGGTCTACTGCCAGTGTTGTGATGTCCATACCACCTATTGAGTGCTACTTGGTCGACTGCCTGTGTTGTGATGTCCCTACCACTCATTGAGTGTTACTTGGTCGACTGCTAGTGTTGTGATGTCCATACCACCCATTGACTGCCACTTGGTTGACTGCCAGTGTTGTGATGTCCATACCACCTATTGAGTGCTACTTGGTCGACTGCCAGTGTTGTGATGTCCCTACCACCCACTGAGTGCCACTTGGTCCACTGCCAGTGTTGTGATGTCCATACCACCCATTGAGTGCCACTTGGTCTACTGCCAGTGTTGTGATGTCCATACCACCCATTGAGTGTCACTTGGTCGACTGCCAGTGTTGTGATATCCATACCATCCATTGAGTGTCACTTGGTCGACTGCCAGTGTTGTGATGTCCATACCACCCCCCGAGTGTCACTTGGTTGACTGCCAGTGTTGTGATGTCCATACCACCCATTGAGTGACACTTGGTTGACTGCCAGTGTTGTGATGTCCATACCACCCATTGAGTGACACTTGGTCGACTGCCAGTGTTGTGATGTCCATACCACCCATTGAGTGATACTTGGTCGACTGCCAGTGTTGTGATGTCCATACCACCCATTGAGTGTCACTTGGTTGACTGCCAGTGTTGTGATGTCCATACCACCCATTGAGAGCCACTTGGTCGACTGCCAGTGTTGTGATGTCCATACCACCCCCCGAGTGTCACTTGGTTGACTGCCAGTGTTGTGATGTCCATACCACCCATTGAGAGCCACTTGGTCGACTGCCAGTGTTGTGATGTCCATACCACCCATTGAGTGACACTTGGTTGACTGCCAGTGTTGTGATGTCCATACCACCCATTGAGAGCCACTTGGTTGACTGCCAGTGTTGTGATGTCCATACCACCCATTGAGAGCCACTTGGTCGACTGCCAGTGTTGTGATGTCCATACCACCCATTGAGAGCCACTTGGATGACTGCCAGTGTTGTGATGTCCATACCACCCATTGAGTGCCACTTGGTCGACTGCCAGTGTTGTGATGTCCATACCACCCATTGAGAGCCACTTGGTCGACTGCCAGTGTTGTGATGTCCATACCACCCATTGAGAGCCACTTGGTCGACTGCCAGTGTTGTGATGTCCATACCACCCATTGAGAGCCACTTGGTCAGCCCATACCACATATTGAGAGCCACTTGGTCGACAAAATACTTGACCAGCACAATACAGCTAAAGATTTAAATATGTTGCTCTTTAACTACATGTAGCTGTCTTATCATTCCTTGTGGTTCTGACATAGTAATGAGATATTACTCTACTATTCTTGATTCAGTGCTCAGTCTAAGAGACCTGTACCAGATCAGTACAGAGTTAGAATATTTCCTCAGAGTTCAAAGGTTAGTAATATCTGTCTCTAATGTTGTTTTACATTCTTGTTTACATTTTAAATTCACTAAACGTTTTTTTTTCCCGACAATTTTCTCTCAGCTTTTGTTTTTGTGATTTTGTTTTTAAATTTCAGAATATGCTCATTGTGACCATTAAGATCCAATCCATTTTCTGAACTAGCACTACCACAAGTATTGGGTGTTTCACTCGTGGAAGGGGTGCATTATTTTGTTCATAACTCAGACACATAACTGGGACAGTAAAGATTTGGCAATGAAATTTGGAGTGGACTAACCTCTGTTCATATGAATTTGGGTGACATCATAACAGGTGCTGGAAATAGCCATCACTGGTGTCCAGGCATCATTGGACATGACATTCCATGTTGTGAAAAGTCCATCCCTATACATCAGGTGTCTCTGCTTGGATGGCTGCACTTGAATGTGACACTTAGAACAGAGGCCAGAAACGTAGTGTGTAATGCAAAACAGAAATCATGGGAAGAGTTTGGAGAACAGTTGGAAAAGAATGCAAGAGAAAATCTAGAACTGCTCTCTGAGACCCTTTAGAGTAGGAGGAAGAAGAAAGAGTGCGCGCTAAAATGAATAAAAGACAAGGAAGGGGCTCTGCTTGCTACCCCAAATGATATCAAGGACAGATGAATAGAATACTTTTCACTGCTTCTCGATGTTGAGGGAAGTCATGTCCCAGAAATAATAGACCTCACTGCAGAGAAAGAAATCATCCATGGGAATGATAACATCAGGATGGAAGAATTGAAGGCAGCTATTGAGAAGATTCAGCTGGGGAAAGCAGCAGGACATGAAGATATAACACCAGAGGATGTAAAATACTTGGGAGTCACAGGTGAGAGACTTCTGAGGATTCTGCAGGCAGCCTGGTGTAGTAAAACTGTACCAAAAGATTGAGAGACTGCCATCTGGTTAGTTGCGTATCCTTTACAGGATGTTGCAGAACCAACCCCAACAGCCCCTGGCTGTTGTTTGGTTTCTCTAAGCAAATTTACATCCAGTAGTTTGTCATTGCTTTCTGGACCGTCAGACCCCTGTCAAAACCAACACTAGACGCATGGCTCGCAGCTGGGATCGAACCTGGCACCCCTGCATTACAAAGAGATTGCCATCATTATACCTATATTTAAAAAGGGTGATAACAGACAATGTGAAAACAACAGAGGCACATCTCTCCTCAGCGTTCCCGGTAAAAGGTACTCGAGAATTCTCGAGCAGAGACTTAGAAGCCTGGCAGAACCATAATGCAGCTTCAGAGCAAATCGAAGTGCTCAAGATCTTATCTTTACACTCAGACAAATGAATGAAAAAGCTCTTGAAAATAACAGAGTGAGATGCACCTCTGTTTTTGGATATAGAAAAGGTATTTGATAAGGTTTCCTGGAGCAAGCTGTGGGACTGCTTTGCAGTGAAAAACATTCCAGCACCCCTGATCAGTGCAATACAGTTTCTACAAAAGCTGCAGAAATTATGCAAGAACAGCAGACCAACGGTCAGAAGAATTTAAGACCACTAGCGGTGTTAGATAAGGTGATATTCTCTCACATCACCTTTTCATTCTTATCAAGGAAAGATATAAACCCAAATGAAAAGTAAATCAGCGAGCTTCACAATATAACAAACAAAACATGAATGTTGCGGCTATGGAGCCTTCATCAGCACATACACAACACTACACAAATACACAGTATCACTTATCTTTGTATCTGGAAGCAGCCAGGTTGATGTCTAGCCAGTAGACTAGCCGGGACACGTGGGAAGAGGAAAATAAATAGCCGTGGGAAAGCCAGGGGCTGGAACTTGAGAATAAGATAAAACTGTGTAGGCAGTTCAGTTTCCTAATATTCTGGATGAAGCTATGTTGGCAGTTTAGTTCACTGGGCGCCAGAGTTCCCAAAGTGTATATAAAGCGATTTTCAAGAGACTTGCTAACTCTGTCGCTGGAGTGGCTAGACTTAATGGCTGTCACCTCCATGTCCTGGACACCTCGGTTGTCCTGGGAATTGAAATGCAATGGTACTGGTTTCAGGGCACCGTCTGAACCTGTCAGCCACCCGTAAACCCGTTTCATCGATGTATTTGATGCCACATCTCTTGCAGTTGATGGCGAAAATATAGCGGCTCGTGCAATAGAATGCTTCACGTATGTGGAAGGTGACATTCAGGAATTCCAGGCATGTCTGAGACCTGTACTGTAAGAAGTTCTCAGCAGGTAACTGGAAGATAAGACCAGTCTGTATATCAGATCTGGCATCTGCAGAAGATGGGGCCCTGACAGCTAAATCAGAGGCACATCTTCAGTCCAACTTACTTGTCTGGAAGGAAGAGCTTGAGAAAAGAGGGATGACCATCAGTATCTTCAAAAAGAAATCCATGGTGATCTCAGAAGAGAAGAAGAAACACCAGATCATAATGGGACCGTATACATTAGAGCAAGTCAACCAGTTCAAATACCCTGGAGTTGTATTAGACCGAAATGGAGGCATTATGACAGCTGGCTACTCGAAAAGCAGCTGCTGGAAGATTTTCCATGCCATAAACCTAGGGTTTCTTAGCAAAAGAGAAAGCAACGGGACCAAAAATGGCAGCATACCGCTCTACCTATGTACCAGTCCTGACTTACAGGTGTGAGTCATGAGCAATGACAGCAGCTCACAGAAGTCAGCTTCAGGCCTCAGAAATATCTGAGAAAGGTGGTCCAAGTAACAAGAAGGGACAGAGTCTGCAATCAGACAATACATCATGATCTTGAAACCCAGGCCTCACAAACTCAAGTGGATCAGTCACAGTTACGATGGTTTGGACATGTATGCAGAATGGAAGAAAATCGGCTACCTGGGAGGCTAAGAACCAGGGAACCAGACCTCCAGGGCGACCCAGGTTTTGCTGGGAAAACATATCCGACAGTCCCTGAATGACAGAGGACTGGAATGGAACAAAGCCAGAAAGAAAACTGCTGACAGAGAAGTCAGGTGATCTCTCAAGCAAACCTCTACACCCCAAGATAAAAGAGGAGCGACTAAGTAAGTAAGTATGTAAAAGACAATAATAAAATTTGACATGTCTTTCATTTTAGTAAAACAGACAAATGATAGAATGTCTGTGTTTCAGTGTAGACAGAGAACCTTTCAGCACATTACACGAGAATCTGATAAAAAGACAGACAAATTTGGTAGGCAGGACATCAGCAACAGACAGACACAATCAGGGTGAGTCATAGTGACATTTCTTCAAATTGTTTTCTATAAAAATGCCACTTTATGCACTTTCCTGACATATTGCAAAGATAAAAATGCCATTTTTTTTTACTTCACTGACATATTGCAAAGATAAAAATCCTACTTTAATAAGCACTTCACTGACATATCGCAAAGATAACAATTTCACTTTATGCACTTCACTGGCGTATTGCAAAGATAAAAATGCCACTTTTCTTACTTCACTGACATATTGCAAAAATAAAAATGCTACTTTACTCACTTGACTAACAAATTGTAAAGATGTAAGACCTTCAACAACCCTGCGTGGTTCTAAGACCCTCATGAGCCAGTAAAAATTGCCTGGTGAGCCAGTTTTCCCACCTGTGTTAGATCCTTAAAAAAAACCTTAAAATTTTACTTATAATGTTAGCACTTTAGCAAAGATGTCAACCACGAAGCAGTTATAAAAGCCACTTTGCAAATATACAGATCTCTTAGCAAAGAGAAAAACCATTTAATAACATCAAAAGACGCATTGAAAAAAAAAAATTTACACAAGAGCAAATATGTGAATCGTTTTAGTTTACCAGAGAAATGTGTACATTATTTTGATTATCCTAATACAAATACCACATACAGTCTGTAAATCATGTTTATATTCAGCAATTTTTTATCTCTTAGAAATTATGCTGTCGTTAAAAATCTTGCATGGAGACATAAAAACTGTCAGAGTTGAGAACCCTATTCTGTTTAGCCGAGGAGCGGTCTTGACTCAACGGATCGGTTTTTCAGACTTCATCAATCCAGGTGAGATATGCTATGTCGACTAATTTTATGACTGATAAATTTTATTGGAGTCACTAATGAGCAGTTTGGAGAAAGAACGTAAAAAAACACATGCAGGCTTGCACACTCACATGCACACGCTTACACACAGAGAGAGAGAACGAACAACGAATGAATGAATAAACTTTATTTTCAAGGGGTCACAAATTGGGCATGCAAGCCCCTTTTACATTTGGCCCTTGAAGTCAACCATCTTTC